TGGGCCACCCTGGTCGTGTGGCCAAGGGTGGTACCGGCGTCCGGCTGGTGACCAGACAGGTGACTTGCTGGAACTTTAAAAAAAAATTCGTCGGGGGCCGCCACTCAATCAAAAATTGGGCGGCTGGGCTCCCGAAAGTTACCTAAATATTACGTGGGACAACTCAAAAGAAAACAGGGTGTGCGTGCGGGGTCAAAGGTTCAAAACAAGTGCTCCCCCGGGGGTCAGTGAGCAGAGCACCCCGGACAGCGCCCACCGGCTGGCAAACTGCTTGAGCTTGCCGGCGGCCACTGCCCAGTGGTGCTCCGCCCGGAGACGCGCGCGAAGGACACCGAGGAAAAACGCCCTGAGGTGACTGGGAGCCTTCCCGGCCAGAGCCTCCTTCCTGGATAGCCAGATAACCAGCTTGGCCAGAGCCAGGAGGAGGTTGACCAGTTGGTCCCGGGCCTTGGTGGGGCGAGTGGTGGTGGACGGTCTTATTCAGCCTGGAGGAATGTGGGCAGTGGGGTCCCCCAGGGCTCGGTCCTCAGACCCGCACTGTTCAACATCTTCATCAGCGACTTGGGCAAAGGGGTAAAATGTACCCTGTTCAAATCTGCAGATGAAACTAAGTTGTGTGGTGAAGTGGGCACGCTAGAAGGAAGGAATAGGCTGCAATCGGATCTAGACAGGCTACAGGGGTGGGTGGATAAGAGCAGGATGGGTTTCAACACTGACAAGTGCAAGGTGCTGCACCTGGGGAGGAAGACCCAGCAGCACACCTACAGGCTGGGGAACTCCCTTCTTGTCAGTGCAGAGGCAGAAAAGGATCTTGGAGTCATTATTGAGGCCAATAGGAACATGGGCTGACAGTGTGGGAATGCGGTCAGGAAAGCCAACCATACCTTGTCATGCATCCACAAATGCAACTCAAGCAGGTCCAAGGAGGTGATCCTCCCCCTCTACGTGACACTGGTCAGGCTGCACCTGGAGTACTGGGCACCGCACTTCAGGAGGGATGTGGCCAATATGGAGCGGGTCCAGAGGAGGGCCACTCGCATGATCAGGGGGCAGCAGGGCAGGCCGTACAAGAAGAGGCTACAGGACCTGAACCTGTTCAACCTCCATAAGAGAAGGCTGAAGGGGGGATCTAGTGGCCTGTTACAAACTAGTCAGGGGGGACCAGCAGGCATTGGGGGAGTCCTTTTTCCCCCGAGCACTCCCAGGATTGACAAAAAATAACAGTCACAAGCCAGCAGAGGGTAGATTCAGGCTAGATAACAGGAGGCCCTACTTCACTGTCAGGGCGGCTAGGATCTGGAACCAACTTCCAAGAGACCCTGGGGTCTTCCAAAGAAGGCTAGATAGACACCTAGCCGGGGTCATATGAGCCCAGTACTCTTTCCTGTCCAGGGCAGGGGGTCAGACTTGGTGATTTGCTCAGATCCCTTCTGACCCTACCAACTATGAAACTATGACAAGTCATAAAGGAGATAAGAAATATTTCCTTCCACTGTCTCAAAAATATTAATTTCAATTAATTAACAACCACTGCCCATCTACTCGCACACATGACAATAAAGGAGTCATCATAAAACACTTAAAGTGATGTGTCCTTACATTGCCCTGCAGTAATGGATGAGACTCAGTGACTGTATCAGATAGGGCCTGTGGGGACAGGAATCAATAGGCTATATGTGCACAAGCAGACCGAGCCAGGCTAAGCCAGGGTGCATCCTTAAGGCTCAGTGGGCCTGGCCACCTGCACTGGGAACTGATATGGATGTACAATCTGGAAGCCAGGAGCACAAAGGGGCTCCTCGGTGGAAGAGTTATAACCCCCAAGGCAGTTTCCAGACAGTGGAATGGAAGGTGTTTCAAGAAGGGTCAAGCTATTCCTGGTGTTTCATCTGCTGAAGGCAAAGGCAGGAGCCCAGATAATCCTGCAGACAGAGTCCGGCTCCTCCCAACACTCCCACCTCAAGTCCCCCTGTGCAGCATGTCCCTGTTGAGATGAGATTCCCAGAGCTGGCAGGGAGAGGGCCTCTCTATTTGATCTGAGCTGGGGTGGGGGTGGGAAATGGAGAATCCTCTGCTCCTAGATCTCCTCACTTAAACCTCCAGCTCTGATAACAAACAATGCTCAAAAGTTGAGGGTTTTGCCACAGGGAAGAACAGGGTGGAGAAGAAGCAGTAGAGTAGAGAAGGTGGCAACCAGTCACTCCAGAGAGAGCATCAAGTAAAAGGTGTAGGGAGTCTGCTGTGCCAGGGAAGACAGGAGTAGTAAGACAGAGGCATTTACCTGCAGGGCTTTCCTTGCTGGCTCCAGGTTCTCGGCATAGTGGCCATAGAGCTCCAGCTCACGACAGAAGCTGTCCAGCCCTTGCCCCAGGCACCCCCTCTCCAAGTGGTGCAGCAGAGTCCTGTGTGCAGGGAGGGACGTACACTGAGCAGGGGACACAGTGGCCAAAGGCATCTTGGCTCCCTCCAATCCCACCCCTGCCCCCTTCCCTCTCTTTGGCACCACTCAGCTCTCATGCAGAGATTAAACCCAGGGCATTTACCCATGCAAGCTAAGTGGGAAGTTCCATAGTGTGCTGGGAAGCTGACTCCATTGTGCTTCAGCTAGCGAGCGATTGCGCACGCAGGGGTCCTAATAGACATGTACAGGCCCACGCTCCCATGGGCACATCCCCACACCCAGCATACCTATCCTTGCAGTAGTGGCAGGATATTTCATTGTGTGTTGTGGTCACTGCTGTCCCGAACTGACTGGATTGCTCGCTTCCCTTCCCCCAAGGGATCCCCTCATGAATGGGGATGCTGTATGCAGTTAACTCACTGGCTGGTGAGGTGTATGGATTCCAGGGGTCCAAATATGGCTGCCCGCTCAGCTGGCAGCAAAGTCCCTTTGGCCTTCAGAATGGTCACAAAATACTAGGCGGGAAGGAGACAAGTGCAGAGAAGTCATGGCCACAGCCCACACAGGGGTGATGCTGCTCCTAACCCCAAGTGTGGGAACCAGACTGCACCCTCCCAACAGCAGCGAAGGGGCAAGCACCAGGCACTGGAGAAGCACTGAGTCAACAAGGCCTCCACTAGGACCCTCACCCACAAGGGAACAGGGATGGGTCATGGAACTGGCTGCCCTAGGCCCCACGTGGCAGTCAGGGCACTATGAGGAAGCTCCTCATCCCCCCACACCCACTGTGATCACTAGGTCCAGCTGCTCCAGGTATCTCTGCTCTGTTTCCACCAGCTCCCTAGCTGTCCGGCTCCGTTTCCTTTCCCAGCGGGCCCTCTGCTCTTCCACCGTGTTGGCTGTGGCCACAGGCTGAAGGTGCATCGTGCTCATGATGGACTTGGGCTTGGGATGCAGACATCCACTGTCTCACTCTGCAGCAGAAAGAGGCAAGAACCACGAACAGTCATGACACAGGTGCACCCAGGCAGTGCAGGGGGTTTTATGCTCTGCTTCCATGGACCCCTCCAGAGGACACAGCCCCAGTCCCTCATTAACCTCAGCTCTTCCCAGAACTGAAGAGTCCCACTGTCACACAGCATCAAGAGGGGTGGGAAGGCAGCAGGGTCACACAGAAGTAGCCCTCAAAGAACAGTTTCTGGAACATGACCGACTTTTCTTCCTGGCATCCCCATTTGTCAAGCCCATGAGGGGACAGCAGTGGAGGAGATCTGAGCTAGGCACGGACCACAACGCTTCCTCCCAAACTGAGTCCCTGGCAGAATGCTATGTTTATGGAGCAGTATCTGGCAGTAGTGCGAGATCTCCACCAGTGAGGCAGGCATGTGGCACCAGCAGTGCTGCCATCTCTCTCTCTAACAGAGCAGGTCTTGAAACAAGGGCAAGCTGGTCTCTTAGCCAACACAAAATAACAATCCACACATCTGATCTAATGCAAAGGCCTGCCTGGCTCAGCGGTCCCTGGCACTTCTTTGCCACATTCCTATAAATCCATCTCTTACTGAAATTTTCTAAAGAGTCTTAGAATCATAGAAATGGAAGAGACCTCCAGAGATGATCCAGCCCATGGCCCAAGGCATGACCTCTTCCATCCCTGACAGTTTGTCTGACCCATTCTTAAAAACCTCCAGTAAAGATGTCATAGCTCCCCTAAGTAGCCTGCTCTAGCGCTTCCCCACACCAACAGTGAGAAACCAGCTTGGCAGAAAGATGCAGTCCTACAGTGGCCTTGTCCTTGTGGACTATACTGTACAGTACAGCTGCCATCAAAGCACTCAGCCCACTCCCGCTCATTTCAGATGGAATTGCTGATGTGAGAACCACTTTGACCAACAAATGCTCAAGACGCCCGAGCCAGAGCTTTGCTAGGACCACATCCAGGTCCCAAGAAGGCAGGAGCGGCGTACCACGGAGAAATGCATTTCTAATGCTATCAGGATTGTTGGAAGACAGGTTTGCCCTCAAGTAAATGACTAAATGCAGGTCTTGCCTCCAGTTCCAGAGAAGTGTCCACAAGGGAACATGCATCTCTGCGCTTTGATGCAGCATGCGACTTTGCCACAAAGCAGGCCACGTTTCATGTTGCCTGGCAACGGACAGCAGCCTGGCGTGCTACGAGAACCTTTCACAATGCCAGTGCTGCCGCCGCAGCAGCCGAGGGAAACCGTCCCACGTTCCTGTGTTTCCAGGAGGAGCCGAACGGAGAAGCACCTGCTCTTGCCGCAGCCCTTCCCAGTCCGGTCCCACACACGCCTCCTGGAAACAAACGCGTGGGAAAAGTGCCACCAGGCTGCAGTCGGCCAGAGGCATCTCCGTATCCAGGCTGCTGCACACCTCAGCTGCCAGGGGAGGGCTGGCTGCAGCATGAAGGGCACACCTGCCGTGGCCATTTCCGCTCCGGCTGCCCACAGGGTCGCAGCACACTTTTACCCGGAAGCGATGGCAGCAACACCGAGGTAAAACGAGGCAGCACGACAGCGGATGTCGACTGGAGCGGGCCAGACTCAGAAAGGCGTGACCCTGAGAAGCTTGAGGACCCCCCTTGTATGGAGACAGCGGTGCTGACACCCCCGAACGTGACCGGGGACAGGAAGCGCTGGGCCAGCACAGGGACACGTGGCCCAGAAAGTCTGTCACAGGCCCAGGCAGGGCCCTCTGTCTGGGAGAGCAGGCCCGGCTGCTCCGGCCTCGGGGT